TCTCTTGTTTTTGAAATAATCATTGCTAAAATATGGGTATTTACTTTTAGAGGTAATATTTTATATGCAAATAAAATTAAAATTATTACAATTAGCAATGTAATTCCATATCTTTTGGGTTCTGCTTCCAGTTAAGATGTAGAAGGATATGAAAGACCATCACTACAGCAACAGAGTGTAGCAACAGAGAGCACTGGATAAACTACAAAACCATTTTATTTTAACCCACTGGAGAACTGAAGTCTCAAAGGAGTTTTGAGGAACCAAATTTCAGAGACACTGGGCCCTTCCTACATGAGCAAAGACCAGCAGCTGTGTTCATCTCTGGGGCATGAGCTGCTAATCAGCATCTATTCCTCACTGTGGAAATAAGAAGAACCAGTCACATATTTAACCCTGCGGTCTGAAGTGATGGATTAGACCTAGATTAGAGTGTCCAATCCACCAGACTTTTACCAGGTGTGTGGTGGCTTACAGGAAGTCAAGACAAGAATGGAAAGACTGTTAGAAATGCAACCTCAGTAACATCCAAGGGAAGGAAATGGTTCTCAGGTGGCCTTTACTGTGTCAGACCTTCTAGTCCCCAGCCCTGCCCAGACAAAACACTAGACAGCTTAGCAGTTTACTTAAGTTCAACTTTAAGGTAAATTGAATGCTTCATGGAGGAAGTAGAGGTATCAGACTTCTCACCAGCTTAAGCCAACTAGGCTACCCTCAGGCCAAGTCCAAGGTTAGTGTAACACAAGGTCAACAATAGGGCACAAAACTTACTACCGTTTCGTTATGTTCGGCCAGAAAGAACTTGTTCCCATGGAAAATCTGGATTAATCTGATTAATCTTTCTAGGAAACTTCAAAAATGTACTTTGCTGATGTCCCAGTAAATTAATTTCCTCAATTTCTGAACCTGCAGTGTTTAAGTCGTAATTGACTGCTAAGCCGATCAAAAGGCCGGTTGTCTTTTTTTAGCATAGCCCTAAAAGCGCACCAAGAAAGACAAGACAAAATATATGAAGGGGACCCAAAGAAAACAGAATTATTTTTTAGAGGGTGGTCCCCTTGTAGTATAGGCTTCTCTGCTAGGTAAGTGTTCTAGGAACCCACTGGCATCTGTGTACCAGCTAATGTTACTGTGAGAGGCTGCATTAGGTTTCAGTGAGGTTTTTTTTGGGGGGGGGAAGGGAGTTTCTTTCAACGCATTTGCCCATTTCTTGATGGGTCATCCATGAGCACACCTGCCCTCTATAGAGCGAGTATTCAGCAGTTTTTGACTAAACGTGGCATGACTCCCCCCCCCACCCTCCCTATTCAGCTGCTCTCACTCCCAGCAACTTTTTTTTTTTTGCCTCTCTGGATGGAAAAAAGTTCTCAAAGAAACGTTTTTCCAGTGTGGAAGAGGTGAAACAAAAAATGGTAGAAGTACTAAAAGACATCAAAATTGACAAGTTTAAAAATTGTTTTGAGCAGTGGAAAAGTGTCTCAATGGGAGTATGGTATCAAATAGAGAGTACTTTGAAGGTGACTGAAGTTTAAACATGCAAAAATACACAATTTTTAATAAATAAATTCCACTTTTGGGGGGGTGTCCCCTCATACACTTCTCCTCTGTGTCTGTGTTCCTACCTAGCACAGAGCCCGAGACTGGCACCACCTTTTAGGGTCCAGATAGGGTGAGGGTGAGATGGATGGAGAGGGAGGAGAGATGCAGGGAGGCACAGCACCGCTGGAGCCAGCAAGCTGGAGGTTCGCGCTGCAACCCAGAGATCCCAGTAAATGCAAAGAATTGCAACACAAAGAGGTGAGAGAAGAAAAGATTTACTTAAGAAAAGTTCACCCCCCACAGACAAGGAGCGGGCCCACACTCTAGGTGAGTGTGGCCTCATAGCCCCCCAAAGCCCTGACTTAAATCCTTTCCTTGGAGATGTTGCACCATCTCCAAGTGACTGCCGTGACTTCCTTATTGACCACCTGTGGATGTCTTGGAGATCCTGTGACACAGAGACCCATTAATGTCTGTCCATATTATCATAGCCCCTAGAGAAGGTAGTGACAAGGATTCTAATTCTCCTGTATCTTCTGAAGGACATTCCTTTGAGCTAATGGAGAGTCCCCCTCCTTACCTCCTAGGCATTCCCAGTGGGTAGCTTCGGGGAATCCTTGGTTTCCCTGTAGATAGGGCCCATTCTACTGGAAGACTGAAGCCCCGCCTTCTCCCCTCTGGGCGGTCATGACTTTTGTAATTACAAGTTTCATGACTTTACAATCCTTGACCAACGTATGATGTCTTAGCCCTTGTAAATTCCCTTTACTCTAGGCAAGCTTGATTGACACTATGAGATACCTCTGATACCTGGCACCAGGAAGTCTGTTTCTGAAAAGACAAAGTCGGTAAAGTTAATTTTACCTAAAGTGTGCATTTCTCCAAAAGCATAGCTTCTACTTTCCCATCATTGTGTCAGGGTTTAAGAACAAGATGAAAAAGGGTTTCCCACTCTCGGTCTGCCCTGTCACCACCTTTAATATACACATTACTTCTATACCTCAAAGCAAATTTCTGTGAGGTTTGAGAGCAGAGAAGGAGATGTTATTTTTTAAGCAAACTCAGAAATTCCTTCCCAAAGTCTTGCATGGCTGCTCTTGTCTTAACTTATTCTCCATCATATCCACCCCACCCTGGCCTTGTTAATTTTATTTCCTTCGTTAAAGGCTAAACAGTCTATCAAAAGAATGCCTTGAAACTAGTCTTAGGGACAAAAATGCAAACACAAGCACCATTTATCATTTTGTCAGCAATCCTTAGTATCACACCACTACAGAGGATGGAAGCTGGTCATTAGACAAACATTCCATTATCTCATTTACAAGCACGCCAGGCTTCTGATCATGGACTAACAGTTGATGAGCACTGGCAAGAGTGAGGAGCAAGAATAAAACGTACTTGTACTAGTTTCATTGCACGGCCCTGCTTAAAAGTGTTCACCTGAGAAAATCCGCTCCTGGTGGCCCACAGGTGCTAGTCCTCCTGTTTAATAGCCCAGCCCTTAGCTGCAGCAGTTTTTAACACGGACTGAACAACATTAGAACCACCTGGGGAGCACTTACCCCGCCAGATGCTCCCAGATTGTGCTGGAGACCAATGAAAGCGGCTCTGTGGGGGTGGGATCTGGGCACAAGTAGTTATCAAAGCTCCCCAAGTGATGCCAATGTATAGCCAGGGCTGAAAACTACTGCTGGAGTGAAATCTCTCTGCCTCTGAACCAGTATGTTCAGGTCAGCTGCAGAAAATGCAGATTTAGAATGCCTAACAGTCATTTACTTTATTATACATTTTTAAATTACTACTTTATTTTATTTTATTTATTATTTCATTTTATTATATTTTTGAGTCAGGGTCTCACTCTGTTGCCCAAGCTGAACCTTCCATCTCAGCCTCCTGAGCAGCTGGGACTACAGGCATGCACCACAACACCTGGCTAATTTTCTGATTTTTTTTGTAGAGATGTGGTCTCACTATGTTGCCTAGGCTGCTCTCAAACTCCTGGACTCAAGCAATTCTCTCGCCTCGGCCTCCCAAAGTGCTGGGATTACAGGCGTGAGCCACGGAGCCCAGTCCATTTACTTTAAAGGCAAAGAAAAAAAAATGACCCCCAAAACTGACCTAGGTAGGGTGAGGGAGCTCAGGTTAAAAATAATACACTGACATCAAGTCCACACAAAACCGTCAGATTTACCAGAGACCTTGCTTCCTATTAAAGGGTATTTTTTAGGTACTAGTAATTGTATGCCAAGGTCAGTCTTTTCCACTTTTGTAAGGGTATAGAAAGAAACAGAAAAAAATGCTAATGTCTGGTGGCATTCTCTCTGGATTCATGACTCAAAGCTCTCCTGTGGTTTCAGAGATGGCCTTTATCCAGCACAATCACCTCTAATAGCCCCCTGCTGAATGCTAAGGAGGGTGACAACCTGCTTCCGTCAGGTCTGCACACAATGACTGGGTTGCAAGACTTGTTTATACATCACAAGGTTATTCCAGTTACATAATCGATTTAGTTCCAAGACCGTCAAAATACTAAACTTAGACACACTACATTTTCTTACAAAGACAAACCTTCAAACTACACAAGCACAACTCCCAAAGGTTAGCTACGGGGGTCTCAGAATCTCCTGGGAGGAAATGCCACCTGTGATCCAACTTCATCAGTAAACATTTGTAGGCAGATTGCTGGCAACACAGCACCATGAAATGTTCTTTAATCCCTGTCAGATAATCCACAGCTTGCTCAAAGAGGCACAGCATATAAGAGCCCTGCATTCGTCACACTGCATATTAAAATATCAAAAACACTTGAGACCCAACCCATGCCCCAGACCAAAAATCAGGATACTGGGGCACAGACCAGTCTGTGGCATTTTTAAAGCAATGGTTCTCACAGTTTCATATGCATCCAAATCCCCTGGAAGGCCATGAAGATGACCGGGCTGAAGATGACTGATTCAGCTGTCTAGCCCAAGAACGTCCATTTCTAACAAGCTCCCAGATAAGGCTGATGCTGCTGGCCCAGGGGTCACTATGGGGATCACCACTTCACAGGTCCCCCAGGCAGCTCTAATTAATGCAGCCAGGACTGAGGACCACTGTATTACGGCCAGGGCACCTAACAGAGGGAATTCCCATCCTACTGTGCTACCAACCTGGGGCTTGATAACAAGCCCTTAAGGTGTATTGGGTCTCAGCTTGCTCCTGATAAATAAAATTGAGACATACATGAAAGAGATCCTGGCTTCCTTACAGAAATAAAATGACTTTTTGCAAAAAGCTGCTGACACTTAATATCCACTAATTCTGAGAAAGTGGCCTCGGAAGCAATAAAACAGCTTTAGAAATATAGAGGCAGGCAAGAGGTAAGTTCTCACTTACATGACTTCAGTGCATGTGGGGACCCACAAAGGGGGCCGGCTGTGCCTGTCCTTGAAGCCCGTCATGCTGCTGCCGGGACTCACCTGTTAGAACCTTGCAGTGCTGCCCAGGTATCTGGGCCTTGGCTGGAGGGCTGGGTGTCAAGGACCATTTGCGCCTGATCAGATGCTCTCGTCCACTGAAGGGTCCCTGGGAGTTGTTGAGGGGCTGGATTAGTACCTGCTCCTGCCCAAGCTGGATGAGGCCAACCTGCCCAGAAAGGAGAGGGAAACCAGACATTGGTCATCCTCATTCACGCATGCCCACAGCCCACGGAGGCCCCAGAGGCCTGAGGGCAGCAAGGCCACCTTGCTGTGGCTTGCTTTCCCATCTGGGCTAGTTTGCTTTGCAAATTGCTCAGATTTACCTGTGCCCAAGAGTGAGCTTCTGTGTGACTTACAAATATCCCACGAAACAGTTATTTGGGTGGTAGGGACGTAAAGTAAGAGTGGAGGTGCAGGCAGGTACGAGGACATTCATTTTCCAAGTTAACTTTCAGAGAACATGGATTAATTTATCAATTAAAAAAAAACTTTCAGAAATTATTTTAAAAATCATCACACTAAAAGTCCACTTGAGAGGGAACCCCAAAATTGCTGGGAATGACAATTATATTCCTGATGGGGGAAAAAAATGTATCTTATCCCTGAGGATATTTAGAATTAAATATAGAGACAACGAACCTGAAGTATTAGTAGTTTGGTAATAGAGGATTTGCACATCTTTTCAGAACTTGTAGTGTTTAAAAGAACTTGGCAGAGTATGTAATGGATTAGAGTTGTGATTCTAATTTAAAGTGTACCATTGATTTAGACTTGTGACTTTAAAATCTTGTTAGGTTTATAAGTAGTATTAGAATATGTGAAAGAATTTAAGACTTTCCATAAGATTAAATTATTAAGTTTATAAAAATTGTTTAAGTACTTGTGAAGGGATTTTTTAACCAGACAATCAAATAACTTTACAACGAAATTGAATGTTAAATCTCCAAATGCAGTTTTAAATATGTAACAGTTGTGAATCATAAGTCCATAAAGGCAGCCAAATATGAATCAAAGCCCGCTTAAAAGTGATTGCAAAAACCTGCTGAACTGTAAGATTTGTAAATTGAATGAAAAACTTTAAAATTAAGATTTTTAGTTTGTCACTTTAATAGAGTAAATGTTAATTCCCCCCAAAATGACGCTGAGAACTTTTTCTCACTTGGAATCAATGTTGACAGCATTCAAACAATGGCCCTCCTACCTCGGACACTTGCTGCTAGCTTCCCTTCTTATGTGGCATCAACAAAACAAGGTAAGTCTCCCAGGGAGACTTATCCAGCCCCGGCTGGGGAGACACCTGCTTTTTTCATTGGTCCCTGCAGCCAGGGTCCCTTCTTCCTGGGCAACACTCCCAGATTCAGTAGATTGGCAGATCAATCTTGGGGGGTCACGGACATCCTTTCTTCTCTCTGCCACCATTACTTTTCAAAAGCCATGACATACTAAACCTGCAGTTCTCAGATCCCAACATGCACCAGAATCACTGGAAGTCTTGAGTGGGGCCCAAGAATTTGCATTTCTCACAGCACCGACGCTGCTGGTCCACGGACCACACTTGGAGAGGCCCTGCTCTCCACCAAGCACAGAGCTTACTCAAGTCAAATGATGCAGACCCCCTCTACAGTCTGAAAAGATACACTGGTACCCAGTCTCTTAGAAAGTAAATCAGGGGGACTAATAAGGTCCTCTACAACCTTTAGTCCCCAAGAAACAGGTTGAGGCCATACTTACTGCTCTAAGCAAATTTCAAGGTTTCCATTTCATTAGAACTTTTGCCAAGTACAACTCAGAGATTTTACTGCCCAAATAAAACTGTCTCTAAGTGGCACTGCATGACCTGCAGGACAGCACAGCTTTCTTCCCTCTCCTTTGAGATGAAAACTTGAGTCTGTTCACTAGGATACTTTACAGAGACTGAAGAAATGGAGGCAGAGGAAGGCTGCAGTGGGATGAGCAGAGCTCCCTCACGGCTGTGCCCCAGGAAGCCTCCGTGCACAACACTCGAAAACATCCATGGTCAAGATGAGGTGGGCAAGTTCTGGCACAGCACACAGGTGCGGCCCCACATGGAAGGACTCCCATGCTCCCTGGAAGATGTGCTCCACTCTAGTAAGGGGCTGGACTTGTTTGGAAACACTCTGGCCATGGGCCCAAGCCCTCCCCGCCCCATCTAGGCTTTCAAAGCCAGTCATCATCCATTCAGTCCAGTGTTTGTATTCACAAACCCTGGTACAAAAAGCAGTTAGCAGTTAGTTCCAATGGTATGCAAACACACTTTAAAAACAAGGAGCTCTCGCCTTGATGATAACCCTTATGCATAGGGATACCTATGTCCACACAAAGAACCACCTACCTCCTCGAGGGAGGTTTGTTTTATAGTGTCTTTTCTGGAGGGCTCCACATCCTGGTTTCTATCCATTCAGGGAAAATGTGATACTGGCAAAAGATGGATAAATGGCCTCATGGATTGTACTCAGCAGGCAGCTACTAGTCTTCTTGTGCCCTGACCTGCAAGGGGTATGTGGCCGGGACCAGCACCAAGGAGGGAGGCGCTGTACAGAGTCCTCACCCTATTGGAGCCAGCACAAGGAAGGGCCTGCCTGCCGCCTCCCTGCCCCCAGTGTCTTGGTCTCCTGCAAGTGTCTTGAATGTGTACCTTGTCTGCACGTGACCAGTGATAACACAGTCTGTTGGAAAGCATCACCAGCGCATCACACACACACAAAATCTCGCCCCAAATAGTGGCCAACCCTCCTTGTCTCTCCTTGAACTCCTCTTTTCCCAGAATAAGTCCCCCTTCCTTGTAGCCCCTGCACTCTATGTTCCAGTCCACTACCCCATGTTATGGGTCAGTTCCTTGGAGGCAGGATCAGAATTATTCCAACATCTTCCATATATCGATACTCAAAATGTGGCTGGACTGGACTCCAGTGGCACAGAAACCTGCAGGCACCCTGCTCAGCCTTCTCATTCCTGGCTGAGAAAACTCCTGCTGCCCAGACGCCCCCCTCTCCAGGCCAATGGAATGAGACTCTTGGGGGTGGAACACAACTCTGGTATTTCTTTCAAGTTCACCAGGAGCTGTCACCATGTAGCCAGGACTGAGAACCACCATCCTAGTTTTTAACTGGGTGCCCAAGCCTCTGGCCCCCCACTGCTTTGATTTCTATGTCTGGGGGTACCCAGATTTGAAAGCTGGGCCTTCATCTGACAGGGGAGCTCTGCCCACTGCTCTTGCTTCCAGTCCATTGTTGCCCGTACCCCCAAGAGCCCACTCAACAGGGCTGCCTGGATTTGTTACTCCCCCAGTCACTATCTATGCCAAGAAGCGAGACATAGGGAAAGCTTACCCAAGCCTCCTGTTCCACTGATGGCAGCAAAGGAATTCCAGTAATGAGGCTGAGATTGCAGCAGATGCAAAAGGCCTAAAACCATTACCCAAAGAGACAGAAAACTGTGCAGGGCAAAAGCCTATGGCAGATGGAAGCAGCAGCCAAGGCCCTTGGTTTTAAGGGCTATAATAAGGCCCAATGAAATGGTGCCCTTAAAAGAGAAATCTTAGGTTTTCGAGATTTGGTATGCTACACTAAAGAAGCCTGGTTCAAATAAAGTGTATCAGGTATAACCTGATATTTCAACATTTGTGAGTGGTCATCTTTAAACCCTCTTTGGCCTGGGTACTTGCTTCTGTACTGCTTTAAGAAAGTTATGAATCAGGTACTGTTAACTCCATCCCCCAAACTCCAGGTAGGACTAGCTGTCACTGCATTGGGGAAAGTATGTGCATGACATGTAGGTTTTTGTCACCTAACATGAGCACAGGTTCTCAGCATGGCTTAGAAAGTACATTTAAGATAATGTAAAGAAAACCTGTCCCTTGGACACTCTGGAAACTCGTGCCTCTGTGGGAGGGGATGAAAACCACATGACTCTACAAAGTCTACACTGGGATTTCCTTCCTTCTGGAGGCTGCAGCTCCTTGGTTAATGGGAATGGGTCTTACATCTCCTCTTCTACATGCAGATGGACTCATGCGGGTGGTTTGAGAGGATGGGTCCCAGTGGGGTCATGAGTTTTCTTCCTGTATGGGCCAATCTGCTTCAAGAAGAAAAAGCTACCCAGTGACTGTGGACCCTCTGGCACCTGCCTCTGACTCTCTGGTGTGCCCTGGAAACTTGTTAGAAATACAAGTTCTCAGGCCCACCCCAGACTCACTGCATCAAAAACTCTGGGGTGGGGCCCAGCAATCAGTTTAACAAGCTTCCAAGAGACTCTGATGCTGGCCCAAGGTTGAGAACTGCTGCCCCAGGAAAAACTCCAAAGGCCTTAGGCTGGCATTCAGGGCCCTGTTTCATCTAATCTACATGTCTGTCCATTCAGTTCCTCTCCCCACCCCCACCTCCTAAAACAACCACCCCCATCCCATTCATGGGTCCCTGAGGACAATGGAGCTTCGGTGGCTTTGTCATCACTCCTTGCTCCTAGCGTCGGAGGCCCACCCCTTTCAGCTCCAATCATCCCTCTTCCTGAAGGTCTCACCCTGCCCAGCTACAGGACCCTTCCTTCCATGAGCTCTGGACGTCTTCCGAGACAGGGTCTGCATTGTCTTTCTCTCTGAGCTGTGCCGGGTGCCTACCACAGTGTCCTGCACCTGGTAGAAGTGTGATCGTGATCCGCTCTTTCAGACAACAGTGTTGACTGATTGGCTGATGTATAACTGGAAAAGTCTGGGACCAGACTGTAGGGCAGGAGAAGAAACCTTTTTTTAAAGCCTTCATGTGCAAGGCTCTCACCAAATAATTTCAAACTTCATCTTCTCCTGCTCTATCAACAGCCATGCAAGGCCAATGTTATTTACCCCTGGCATGGCTGCAGGCGGGGAGGTTCAAAAGAATTAAGTGACTCGCTCAAGATCACAGCCCTGAATAGCCATGCAGTTTCATTTCCTAAGGAATGAGACATGACTACGTATCTGTGGGCCTGTGCACAGGAGCGTGCATGGGGAGAGGTTCACCAGTGCCTCTGCAAGATTCCCTAGGCCCATTGGCTGCAGAAACCTCTCCCATCACCAAGATCAGGCAGCTATAGCATTTCAGAGTTCAGGAAATAAGCTCCAAGAATGCAACCAGCTAGAGGACTTCTTCTGTCCACCATCCCATCTCGCGC